GCGGTCGACTCTGAGGATCCCCCCGCGGGGACGGGGACGGGGACGGGGACGGGGACGGGGACGGGGACGGGGACGGGGACGGGGACGGGGACGGGGACGGGGACGGGGACGGGGACGGGGACGAGCGGCGGGGATTCGGATCCGATGAAATCCAAAAACGACGGCGTGTGGCGAGGCGGCGACCCGGTCCCGCCCGTGCACGTGTCCTTGGCGCTCGTGGACGCGGACGGCACGGTCGTGACGCTGTCCATCGCGCGCGGGTTGTTGGAACCGGAGGAGCCGCCCGGGGAGAAGACCGGGGACGAGGGCGACGACGACGACGACGACGGCGGCGGCGGCGGCGACGACGACGGCGGCGGCGACGGCGACGACGGCGGCGGCGGCGGCGCGCCGGGCGGCGGCGGATGGAACGGGAACATCCCTTCCATAGGCCGGGGCGGGCTCTCCGACGACGAGGACGACCTCGAGGAGATGCCGCTCGAGTGACGGCGGCACCGGGAGCGTCGATCGATATCGATGATATCTCCTGTCGGCTATCTAAGGTTATATTCTTTTAGAAAAACGAGTAGACTACGACAACGCGTGATGAACCGCCGCCCTCGTTCGACTCATCATACATCTACGACGACTCCCGCTGCTTCGCGAGGACGAAGACGTTCCCCTGATTCGTCCGCAGCACACGTAACGCCTCCGACGCATGCGTTACCGTCCACGTCCCCGCGCGCCCTTTCGGAAACGGCTTCGCGAAGACGTCCCTTCCGAACACCTCCGCGGTGACGTCCTCGAACGTCACCTTCAACGTCGTCGGCTTCTTCGCGACACCCTCCGCGACCGCGCGCAGCTTTAATCGCGCGGGGCCGAACGTCACGATGTTCGCGTACGTACTCCCCGAGCCAGGCTTCTTAGGGTCCGCGTCTGCGTCGAATATTTGCGTCACCGCGCCGACGAACGGCCCGATCTTCCCGCTGCTGTTGCCCTGAGGGTCGCTCCATACAAACCGATGTCGGGGTGGAGTTGAAAGGCGTCAGTCGGAGTCGAAAGGCGTCGAGGGCGGGGATTGAAAGCGGGGGATGGGCGGAGGGACACGCCGGGAAAAGTCCTCAAGGATCGGCGTCCACCACGCCAACGCGGTCGTATGGGGACCAGTTTGAGATAGAACGCACCTGGCTGTCCGTGTACACGAGATCCCACGCCGTGCCCGCGAGATCGACCGCCGCGGTGTCGCGCGTCGGGTTGAGCGCGTCGATCTCGGCGATGATACGCGCGATGGACGCGCGCTGGGTCTCGTCGCGGTCGACGCCGTTCGCGTCGCCAGCCTCCGCGCGGAGGCGACCCGCGAGCGCCGCGATCTGCGTGGACGCCGTCGCGTCGGACGACGACGACGACGACGCGATCGCGGACGAGCGGCGTCGCGCGCGCGACGACGCCGGCGACGGGCGCCGGCGCGACGACGGCGACGGCGACGATCGCGACGATCGCGACGGCGCGACGGCGGGGAGCGCGAGGGACGCGACGGCGGCGCGCATGACGACGACGACACGGCGCGGCCACCGACTGGACAGTCGCGCTGCGATTTTTTGGATAAAATTAATTTATCAACCCAAAAATGTTGAGAGGAAGACTGGAGGAGCGCCAGAGGCTCTCATGATATGAACTACGCGTACATATTCTATCACACATCACGTATCATGATATCCATATCATAGTCTACTATCGCGTCGTCCGTCCGTCAGGGTGCTCACAGCTCACAGCTCACAGCTCACAGCTTACTGCGCGCCTTGTCGTCGCCGACGCGCCTCACGTCGCCGCGTCGAACGTCCCAGTCGCCGCCCGCGCCTTAGGGTCGTTCCATACGAAGCGATGTCGGGGTGAAGTTCAAAGGCGTCAGAAGCGGAGTTGAAAGGCGTCGAGGACGGGGATTGAAACCGAGGGGTCGGCGGAGAGAGACGACGGCAAAGTCCTTAAGGATCGGCGTTCACCACGCCGACGCGGTCGTATGGGAACCAGTGTGAGATGGGACGCGCCGTGCCCCCCCTCCTCCGCTCCCGGCGCCAACAGCCGCGGCGGCTCCACCGCTGGATCGCATCGGTACTCGATCAGGTCTTCATCGGTCGCGCCGATGTCGCGGAGGTACTCGTCGTCGATCAACTGCGCGCCGTTGACCGCGGCGGGGTGGCCGCGAGGCGCGCACAGGTGCACGACGCAGTCCGCGAGGATGGTCGCCTTCCTCCACCCTGATGAGCGTCGACGGTCGGGGTGGAGTTGAAAGGCGTCAGAATCGGAGTTGAAAGGCATCGCGATGATCGGGCGTTGAAACCGAGGGACCCTGGGCGGAGAGAAATGACCGACCGCCGGGAGAGAAAGTCCTTAAGGATCGGCGTTCACCACGCCGACGCGGTCGTATGGGGACCAGTGTGAGAGATAGAAGAACGCGCCTGACTTTTCTCCGAGTTGAAAGTTTTCCGACGCGAGCGACTCGACGACGGTGGCGGGCCACAGCGCGTTTCCGGTGACGCTCGTCGTCGCGTCGTCGTCGTCGGACGACGCGCCGGCGCCGCCGACGCCCACAGAGTGTCGGACACCGAGTGTCGGAGAATGCTGTGATTCATTCTCCGACGCTTTCATCACTTTATTCTTCTTCTCCGACGCTTTCGCTTTCGCCGCCATCTTCTCTCCCTCCGCGGCGGCGCCCAACGCCACCATCGTCATCCCGCACTGAGGGTCGTTCCATACAAAGCGATGTCGGGGTGGAGTTCAAAGGCGTCAGATGGAGTTGAAAGGCAACGCGGGCGGGGATTGACCGCAAGGGATGGGCGGAGAGTTGCGCCGGGCAAAGTCCTTAAGGATCGGCGTTCACCACGCGATCGCGGCCGTATGGGGACCAGTGTAAGGAAATCGCGCCTTGCTCATGTAGTACGCGGTCTTCCCCGCGTACGCTCTGTACGCGTTGTCGTGGCCGGTAGGAATAGGCGGGCCCATGCAGATCACGCGGCCGTACCCGTTCGCGTACATGTGCGGAAGGCACTCGCGCGTCCTGCGGTTGGATGAAAACGCGCGGCGAGCGGGCGGTCAGTCTTTCTCGGGTCATCGGAGAGGTCGCCGACGCCGAACGATTGGCCGGACGCGCACACGTGGCGTTCTTTCGTTCGTCCACGTGGACGGCGGCGCGTCGGGTCACCGGCGGCGTGACGAGTCAGTCGAGTCAGTCACCGACTACGCACATGATGAACGCCCCGCGCGCGTTGATGCTCTGAATCAGGTCGTACTTCTTCGTCGGCGTCTCCGTGATGGAATGCCACCACAGCGCGGATGCGTTGTTCACCAGAACGTCCACCCTGCCGTACGTCTCTATGGTCTTGGAAACGCACGCGATGCATGCGTTTTCATCCCGTAAGTCCAGGACGACCGGCAGCGCGTCGCCGCCGAGCGCCTTTATCTCGTCCGCGACCGTATAGATCGTCCCCGGCAGCGTCGGCTGCGGCGTCGCGCTCTTCGCGGCGACCACGACCGCGCATCCCGCGCGCGCGAGCGCGAGCGCGCACTCGCGCCCGATGCCTCTGGACGCGCCGGTCACGATCGCGACCTTGCCCCCGAGGTTCGGACGGGGAGGGAGCGGCATCAGTGAGAGGGAAGGAGGCGGAGGGAGGGAGGGAGGGGGGAGGACGGCGGCGGCGAGACGCGCGCGTCGACGTGTGATGATGATGATGATGGGTGGACGACGACGTGGCCGCGAGTCTGGATGCTGGAGTCGGCACCGCGGCGCAGACTGGGCCGGTGGTCGACCGGCCGCTGGCGCGCGAAAAGTCGATTTTTTCGCCCCGGCGCGGATGAGACGCACAAATCTCGCCGCCGCGTCCTCCTCCTCCTCCTCCTCCTCCCTCCTCCCGCCGCGTCGTCATCGTCGCCGCGTCATGGCGTCGTTCCAGGACGCGGAGGACGAGGCGCGAAAGGCGATCGCGGACGGGTTCGAGATGTGCGTTCCCTTCGTCGTCGTTCAAAAAGATCGAATCGAGATCGAGTCGAGTCGAGTCTCATCATATTCATCGCGCGTCGTCGTCCTCCTCCTCCTCCTCCTCCTCCTCCTCCTCCTCCTCCTTCGCCCGTCCCTCCGTCCGACGCCCTCCCCAAACTCCACCCACCCCGCGACGCACGCAGCCGCGCGATGAACATGCGCGACGCGGAGACGGGCGAGATGATGTGGGAGAAGCACGCGTGGCCTTCCGCGTGGCGGAGCGAGGAGGTGGAGGCGCGCATTCCCGCGGACGTCATGAATCGCGCGGCGGTGAGCCGAGAGATGACGTTCTCGTCGGCGGCGGCGATCGACGACTTCAGGGTGAGCGCGCGCCTCCACCGCGTCTTAGGATCGCGAGGTGCCCGCGCGATTCTTAAGGACTCGGATTCGTCCCACTCCTCGCGCGTCGTCCTCCGTCCCCGACGTCCGCTGACGCCCTCTCCCGACCGCGCGACCAAAAAATTCAATCCGTTCCTTCGTTCGACAGTTGCGACAGCGCGTCTACCTCGGCGAGCACTGCATCGAAGAGTGGGACTTCGACTTCGGGTTCGTGATCCCGGGCAGCGTCAACACGTGGCAGACGACGATCGAGAGCGCGGGCGAGGGCGCGATGTTAGACCCGACGCAGATAAGCGGATTAGGTGCGTTCTATACACTGGTCCCCATACGACCGCGTTCGCGTTGTGAACGCCGATCCTTAAGGACTTTGCCCGGCGCATCTCTCCGCCCATCCCTCGCTTTCAATCCCCGCCCTCGACGCCTTTCAACTCCAACTGACGCCTTTGAACTCCACCCCGACATTCGCTCGTATGGAACGGCCCTTAGTGTGCATCGAGACGAGTTTTTTGGACGGCGACGTCGTCTTCAACAAGAGCGTCGTTCGCGTGTATTATGAGCAGTACGACTAGCTCGTGACGACTAGCTCTGACGACTAGCTCGTCTACGGAGGGGGGGTACAGTATTAATTAGTAGGGTTTAGAAGCGGTGGGGTGGTGGTTTTATGTTGGATGGATGGATTCTTTCGTCGTTCGTCGTTACTTAAAGAAGATAAAAACGCTCTACATCGACGCGTTCGGGTACATATTACCTTCGTATCAAATCTCCACGCCCGCTCGGAACGCCTTGCGCAACCCGTCGTCGACGCCGCCGCGAATCTTCCTCAGCTCCGCCGACGCGTCCGCCACCTTCGCGCGCAGCGACAGCGCGTGCTTCGACGGCAGCGACCGGAGCTCGTCGAGGACGAGGTTCGCCTTGCTCTCGTCCCTCGCGTTCGCCGCGCCCTGCGGGTGTGATGGAGGGGGCGTCGTGTGATGAGGGACGGTGGGGGTTCGGTCGGAGGGTCCATCGATGATGGATGATGGATGAGACTACCCCCAGCTCCTTAAGGAACGGCGTTCACCTCGCGCGTGCGGTCGTATGGGGACCAGTCTGAATAATGAACGAAACGAAACCGAACGCGGCGCGCACCAATCGTTTCAGCTCTTTCGCCGCCGCTCGCAGCTTGCTCCTGCCGCGGCTCATCTCCTCCTCCGCGATCGCCGCCGCCTCTCTCGCCTTCGCCAGCTCCCCCGCTCTCCCCTCCGCGGCGTGCGCGAGCGACTCGTACGCGCGCGTCGCTCGGTTGAAGAGGAACTCTTCGCTCTGCAGTCGCCCGAACGTCGCGCGCCACAGCAGCGCGCGCGTCCCCGGAAGCGCCAGCGACGCGACCGCGACCGCGCCTGCCGCGGTCGCGTACGGCGCGCGCGTCACCGCGCTCGTCGCGATCGCGGTGGGGCGCTCGAAGAACCTGGACTCGATTTCTCTCGCGGCGGTCTCCACCGCGTCGAGGCGCGATCGCGCGACCGCGATCTGCGCGCTGGCAACCTCCGTCGCCACCGCGACTCGAGTGGACCCGATCCGAACGATCGAGCTCACGGCGGAGTCCACGACGTTCGACGCGGTGGCCGCGCCGGGGAGCGCGCCCGCGACGGCGTCGAGGACGTCGCGGACCGGGGGGGGGAGCTCCATCGAGGCGCGGGCGCGCGGCGGGCGCGGCGCGCGGCGAGGAAGTGAGCGAAGGGCGGGCTCGACGATGAAACTCGAGCTCGAACAGAACGAAACGACGGCCGCTCGCGCGCTCCTGTTAGCCTGTCGTTGACAGCTTGCACTTCTCGCAGTCCGAGAATCCATCCGCGTCGACGCCGCATTCCCCTCGTCGCGCGCGCCGCGCCGCGCGCTCGCGTCGCACCGCGGCGAGCGACCATGGGGAAGGACCGCGATCGCGCGTCGCGGTTCACGTCGACCGGAGGAGACGGTGCGCGTCCTGTCCTCCCGTCGTTCTCATCACTCCCCGCGTTATTCGCTCTCGTCGACGCCGCCATTCATTTCGTTCGCACGCTCGCTCGCTCGCTCGCTCACCGTCCGTCCGTCCATCGCGCGCCCTCTTCCCTCTCTCCGACAGCAGACGCGGCGGCGAAAGTAGGAGCGAAGAAGCGGAAGCAAAAGTCCGCGCTGTCGCTCGACGCCTTCGCGCGCGCGAAGAAGAGCACGTACGACAAGCGCGTCGTCCTCGAGAAGAGGCGCGCGCTCGCCGCAGCGCGCGTGAACAAATTCCGCAAGGTGCAGAAGCGACTGGGAAGCTCCGTCGACGTCGACGACGCGTTCGACCCCGCCGCGATCGCCGCGCGCTTGGAGCAGACGGACGCCATCGTCGGCGTCGGCGTGGGAGGGGGAGGGAACAGAGTTGGAGGGGGGGGACGCGCGGACGACGGCGCCGGCGGAGGGGAGACGAGAACGAAGAAGAAGAAGAAGAAAAAGAAGGAGGAGGAGGAGGACGAGGTCGCCGCCGCCTCCGCCTCCGACTCAGGTGCGTTCTATACACTGGTCCCCATACGACCGCGTTGGCGTGGTGAACGCCGATCCTTAAGGACTTTGCCCAGCGCATCTCTCCGCCCACCCCTCGCTTTCATTCCCCGCCCTCGACGCCTTTCAACTCCACCTGACGCCTTTGAACTCCACCCCGACATTCGCTTGTATAGAACGCCCCTCATCAGACGACTCGGACGACGCGGAGTTCCGGAACAACGTCGTCGCGAAGGACGGCGACGGCGACGGCGACGACGACGACGACGAAGCGCAGACGGACGCGCGCGGGAACACCCCGGGCGCGAGCCGCCCGCCCGGTTCCAAGGGGTGGAACGCGACGCGAAAGAAGGGCATCCGAGACGCCAAGGCGAGGGAGGACAAGGCGAGAGAGATGACGGAGCTGCGCGCCAAATGGGCGGAGGAAGATAAGGCGCGTTCTGTTACCACACTGGTCCCCATACGACCGCGCTGGCGTGGTAAACGCCGATCCTTAAGGACTTTTAACCCCGGCGTTTCTCTCCGCCCACACCACGGTTTCAATCCCGACACACCTCGACGCCTTTCAACTCCGCTTCTGATGCCTTTCAACTCCACCCCGACGTTCGCTTTGTATGGAACGACCCTAAGGGACGGAAGGCGTTCTTCGAGAAGAGGAATAAGGAGCGCGGGAATTTCCGGAAGAAGAACAGCAGAGGACAGCCGGTGATGAAGCACAGGGTGGATAAGATCTTAGAGACGCTGACGCGCGAGGGGGGGGGCGGCGGCGGGGCGCGGTAGCGGCGGCGGCGGCGGCGTTTGGTTTTCGACCATTTTTGGTTTTTAGGCACACCCCCGAGAAGATCGTTTTTTTTGGCACCCGTCTCTATCGCGTCACTCGCCGCCGCGCGGACGCCACGCGCCGCGCGCCGCGCGCATCGGGGAACCCTACCCTACCTCACGCGCTCGCGTCGCCGCGGAAGACCGCCGGCGACGACGCGCGGAGCGCCCGGGCGACGCGGCGCGCGCGCGCCTCGGACGAACCGATCTCGCGCCCGTCGGTTCGTTCGGTGAACTTTTTTCCGGTCCGGGGGTGCACACATTCGTTCGCTCGATCGAGCGCGCGTCGTCGTCATGGACGCGGCCGTGAGAGGGATCCTCCGCGAGGCGAACGGCGCGCTGACGACGGACCGCGCGGACGTGTACAAGCTGTGGGACTCCGCGCGCGCGCTGGGACGCCATCTGCGAGCGGTCCGCGCGTCCGTGCTCCAGGCGGCGACAGCGTTGGGCATCGAGCTGCCGACGAGAGAAGACGACGACGCGTCGGACGGCGACGGCGACGGCGACGGCGACGCGCGCGGCCGCGCGCGAGCGCGCGCGAACGCGATGCCGCCGCCGCGATTGAGGGAGCGCGGGGGGACCGGGAGCCGGACGGCGACGACGGCGGGCGGCGGCGGGGGCGGGGGGGTGACGTTGCCTCTCGACGGAACCGCGACGACGACGGACGACGGCGGCGGCGACGACGACGACGACGACGGTGAGAAAGAGGTGAACGACATCACGGTCATGGCGCCGCCGCGCGCGACCGCGGGGCACGCCGGGTATCTACGACGCGGGGGCGGGCGCCCGAACGCGAACGCGGCTAGAAACCGAAACAACCGCGGCGGCGGCGGCGCGGTGTCCGTGTCGACCGCGCCGACGAAAGTCTACACGGCGGTCGGGTTGGCGGCGAACGCGCGCGTCGTCGCGCCCAAGCCGCCGCCGCCGCCGAACGCCGCCGCCGCCGCGGGACGTTCGGACGAGGACGCGACGACGACCGCGCCGAGGGCGACGGCGGCGGCGCCGCCGCCGAAGCGTCGGTCCGTCCGGAAGCGATCGTCGGAGAAATTGGAGTCGAACGGCGGGAACGGCGGCGGCGGTCGCAACGCCCGGAAACGCGCGAAGACGACGTCTTCTTCTTCATTGTCGTCGTCCTCAGACGATGACGCGTCCGACTCGGACGGCGCGGTGAGCGAGACGAGCGACGCGGACGCGGACGAGGAGGAGGACACGCCGCGACTGACGCAATCTGAGGAGAGCGAGATAATATCCGACATCTCGCGCCGTCGCATGGCGGACGCGAAGAGGAACCCGGGCGACCGCGCGTGCGCGCTGTGCCGCAAGCCTCTCGCGGGGACACCGCCGGCGCAGATCGAGTGCGAGTTTACCCCCGGCGCGAAGAAAGGGGACATCACGCTCGCGCATTTGGATTGCTTTTTGTACGCTCCGCGATCCTGTCACGACGACGACGTGGTGCTCGAAGACGGCTCCTACATGGCGAAGGGCATATTAAAAGAGAGTGAACGAGCAAAGCGTCTGAAGTGCTACGCGTGTAAGAAGACAGGCGCGTGCACAGGGTGCTACTACCCGCGGTGTCAGTGGTCGTTTCACATACCGTGCGCGCGGAGATTTTCCACGAAGGTTAAAGGCGAGGCGCTCCCGCAAGAGTGCATCTTCATCGAGCAGGACGAGCGCGCGGCGCCGGGGACGCCCGAGGGTGAGAACCGCTTATTCTGCCCGCGGCACCGGCATCACTCGGTGCTCGGCGGCGGCGGCGGTCGGTCGCAGCGACAACCGACCGCGACGCAACCCCCGCGCGCGACGGTGAAGTCGAGCCCGGCGGCGCCGCCGCCGTCCGAGATCCATCGCGAGGACAGAGAAGCGTCGCCGCGGCGGCCGCAGCCGCGACCGCGACCGCAGCAGCATCAGCAGTCGCCGCGGCGTCAGAAGTTTGCGATTCGCAGTTCGCCGTTCGCGTTTCCGGTAAACGACGAAGACGACGAGCTCATGAACACGTCCGAGGAGGAAGAGGAGGACGCGCCGGGACCGCCTCCGCCGCGAAACGACGACGACGACGACGCGATGGAAGAGGAAGACCCAGCGGGGGACATCGCGGCAGAACTCGTCAGAGACGTCGCACGCGCCGCGACGACGGAAGCGGAAGCGACCGAAAGGGAGGACGACGACGACGTCGAGCACGTCGGATCGATTCCGCCGCCGTCGTCGCAACCGCGGGTGGACGGGATTGAATTTTTGACCGACCTCGAGTTTGTCGCGCCGACGCAGCAAGCGCCGCCGACGCCGCCGCCGCCGCAGATGCCGGAGGAGGAGGAGGAGGAGGAGGAGGACGGCGAAGGACCGTTAGAGAAGACTATCAGGCGGATCAGCGCGTCGATGTCTCAGCCGAAGCCGGTGGCGAGAGAGTTGAGTCAAGCCGCGGCGTCGCCGACGCGAGCGCCCGCTAACGCGTCGCCGGTTCAGTCTCAGTCTCCCGCCGCGGCGCCGGTTCAACCGCCGCCGCAGCCGCAGCATCGGTCGTATCACGCCGTTCGAAAGTGCGCGGTGGTCTTGACCCCGTCGAAGCTTCCGGGCGCGGCGGGCGCGACGACGACGACGACGACGGCGGCGGCGACGCCGTTGCGACAGCTGCGCGCGAACCCCCCCGCGTCGCGGACCCTCGACGCTCCCGCGCCGCGCCCGACGAACGCGATGGCGTACGCGGACATAGTGCGAGGGGGAGCGTCGGCGACGGGAGGAGGGGGAGGAGGAGGGAACGAGACGACCGCGGAGACCGCGGCGGCGGCGGCGTGGACGACGGCGGCGCCGATCCAGAGCACGGAGTCGGGGGAGATTCGGTACGAGTACCCAGCCTCGTAGACGCGTCGCGCGCAAAGTACTTCCGAAGTACTTTCGAAAGTACTTTCGTACGAAAGTACGAAAGTACTTTGAAAGTACTACACTCAGAGAAGACTCACGACTACACGTACGCGCACACGACACGCCGCGACAGCGCGACCGACGCGTCACATGAACGACGGGCGCTTCTTCTTGAGCTTATCCCGCAGCGCGCTGAGGTCCACCTTCCCCTCGCGCTCGCCTCCGCCGCCCCCTCCGCCGGCGCCCGCCCTCGCCCTCTCCCTGGCTTCATCCCCCTCCCCCTCTCCCTCCCCCTCGCCGCCGCGCTCGCGCTCGCTCTTGCCCTCGCTCTTACGCTCGTCGCCAGCCTTGTTCGCGGCCGCCATCGCGCGCCCGACCGCCAGCGCCGGGTTCATCATCGGCCCGTGCCCCGTCTCCGACGCGCGCGCGGCGTCCGCGACGCGCGCGATGGCGGCGCCCGCGGCGAAGTGTACCCCCGTCGCGGTGACGTACCCGCCCTCGGGTAGTAACGCGCCGCCGCCGTGCGTTTCTCCCCCCTCCTCCTCCCCACCCTGGTCCACCCTTCGCATCTCGTCCACGCGGCGCTGCACCGCGAGCGTGAGCGCCGCCTTTCGCGCGTCCGGGTCCTGGAGCGTCGCGGCGGCGGCGAGGACTGCGGCGTGCGCGTCCTCGGCGACGGCGCGAAGTTTGTCGCGCGCGGCGTCTGATGATCATGATGCCACGTGGAGGGACGCGAGTGGTCAGCGCGCTTCGAGTGAGTGATGTGATTGGGGCGAATACGATGACGTGTCGGATCGGATACGGATCGTGTGGCCGAGAGACGCGCGCCGAGTCCGAGTCCTTCTTAAGAAACGACGCTCGACGCGCGAGTCGGGTCGTATGGGAAGCAGTCTCACCTCCCGCGGGGAACCGACTCGGGTCGCAGCGCATGCTCATGATCTTCGCCCGCATCGCGACGTCGTTCGACCGCATCGCCGGGTGGTTCTCCCACGTCACCTTCCCGTCCACGTCCACGGGCGCGCCCGGGAGGCCGAGCAGCTTGAGCGGGTCCTGTGAGGGTCGTTCCATCGTTCAAAGCGACGTCGGGGCGGAGTTGAAAGGCGGGTCAGACGGAGTCGAAAGGCGTCATAGGGTCGGGTATTGAAACCGAGGGACCCTGGGCGTAGAGAAACGACGGGAGAGAAAGTCCTTAAGGATCGGCGTTCACCACGCGTGCGCGGTCGTATGGGAACCAGTGTGAATCCGACGCGCCTTCGATCGCGCTCTGAGGAGAATCTCGAGCATCTCTTCCTCCGACGCCCGGTCGACGTTGTTCACCGCCGCCGTCGCCGCTCCCGCCGCGGACGGCGCCGGTCGCTTCGCCGCGGTGCCGCCGCCGATGGCGCCGCCGCCTCTGGCTTTGCTCGCGGCCATCGCCTGTCGGATCGCCTCCGCGGGGTCCACGGGGGCGGCGGCGGACTTTTTGGACTTTTTATTATTGGATCGCCATCCTCCTCCCGCGTCGTCGCCGCCCGCCTTGAACAGCGCGGTCTTGAACGCCTCGACGTGCCTGCTCGGCGGGTGGCGCGATCGCGGTGGACGGCGTAAATAAATAGAGCGCTGAGAAGAGAAGAGAAGAGAGAAGACGGCGGGAGGGTGCGAGCAAAGCCAGGGACGGGCGGGGGGGAGGCTCGGATGGATGATCGGGTGGGCACTTCGACGACGACGCTCCGGATTATTCGCGCACCCGGGATTACTCGTCATGCCGACGCTGTCTAGGAGCGCGTCCAGCCTTCGCTCCGCGCGGCATTCGCTCACGTCGTCGATCCCCTGCGCCATGAACCGCGGGTAGTACTCCTGCAGCTCGAGGCCGCGAAGAAACGACTCCATTGCGACGGCGAGGGACGGACGTCGCGTCCGATGGAATGGCACGAACTGACGAACGAACGCACATCATTTTCGTCGTCGTCGTCAGCCGCCGCTGTCGTTCATTCATTCGATCGGACGCGCGACGCACGCACGCGCCCCAACGCTCTCCCCCACGAGCAAGAGAAAACCACCCAACCCACCCTCGCCGCCATGCCCTCCCGCGTCACTCCGCGGTGGTACCCCAACGCGTGCCTCGCGGACCACGTCACGATCGCATCGCATCTCCCGCGCATCATGGGCGCGTACGTCGGCCCGAACGCCATCGAGGCGGCGACGAACGAGAAGATCATGCTCACGGTGAACGGCGTGAACGACTGCGAGTACTGCACCGGTGCGTCGCGTCGGGTTAGGGTTTAGGGGTGTTGATCCGCCCGGCGTGCGTCGCGCGCGCGGTCGGCGACGGACGCGTCGTCCGTCCGCCGCGACGGCGCGCGAGCGATCGAGCGAAGAATCCATCGATTAATCAAATCAATCCACGCGGTTTCATCCCTAAGACATCAATCAATCAGGACTAATAACCAAGTCATCATTCTCTCTGCGCGACAGGCCTTCACGGCGAGCTCGGACGGATGGCCGGCGCCGAGGACGCCGTCGACGCGAAAGCGCAGGCGTGCGTGACGTACGCGAAGATCTTCGCGCAGCACGACGGCCGCGGCGCCGTCGTCGAAGCCGCCAAGGCGGATCTCGTCGCCGCCGTCGGCGCCGGCGTCGCGGAATCCGCGCAGGCGCGTCCCATACACTGGTCCCCATACGACCGCGTCGGCGTGGTGAACGCCGTTCCTCAAGGACTTTCGCCGTCGTCTCTCTCCGCCCAGGGTCCCTCGCTTTCAATCCCCGACCCTATGACGCCTTTCAACTTCAACTGACGCCTTTGAACTCCACCCCGACATCGTCGCTTCGTACGGAATCCGCGCAGGCGCTCTGCTGGTTCATCCTCTGGGGCTCCGTGTCCGGGCACTGCCTGAACGCGTTCTGGAAAGGCCGCCTAATCTTCGACCCGCAGCCGCACAGCAACCCGATCTTCGAGGTGCTGTTCGCGGCGTACTACACCCCGCTGTACGCGCTCGTGGTGATCACGACGCAGATACTGAAGGTGAGACTGCTTCCCATACGACCCCGTTCGCGTGGTGAACGCCGTTCCTTAAGGCGTTCTTTCTGTCCACCAATCACATGCCCGAGAGACTGACACGTGTCTTATCCCCTCGGCCAATCGCGTCCGTCGTCGCAGGTGTTCCCGGCCAAGGGGAAGAAAGTCGTCAACGCCGCCGTCGGCGCGGTGCTCACCGTCGTCGCGGGCACGTGGATCGGCGCGTTCTCCTCACACTGGTTCCCATACGACCCCGTTCGCGTAGTGAACGCCGTTTCTTAAGGACTTTCTCTCCCGTCGTGTCTCTGCGCCCAGGGTCCCTCGATTTCAACGAACGCCCGCCCTCGACGCCTTTCAACTCCACCCCTGACGCCTATCAACTCCACCCCGACGTCGCCTCACAGTGCCGCTCGGGCTGTTCGGCGCGCTCACGAGGCCGTTGCGAGGCCGCGTGAAGGGCGCGTCCACGACGAGAGACGTCGAGTGCGGCGGTAAGAAGAAGAAGAAGAAGAACTGAAAGGCGTCATCGTGACGCGAGCGCGACGCGTCGGAGGCGGGCGCGGCGCGCGGCGGCGAATGCGGCGGCGGAGGGAAGAGGCGGGAGGGCGCTGACGACGACGAGACTGCGGCGGTTCGAAGCGGAGTGACGGCGACGCGGCGCAAACGAAAGAACGATGCCCGACGCTCGATGAGACGCGAACGAACCGACCGAACACGAACATTGACGCGTTATTACTGTAGGAGGTGGAGGAGGAGAAGGAGGAAAAGAAGAATAATAACGCGCGATGATAGACAGTTAGAAGACAGTAGCTCAGAGCCCGCGGCGGAAGTACGCACAGTAGTGTACGTCCGTAATTTATCATAAATCAACGAATGAATCTACGCATCATTCATCACCTCGAAGCGTTGTACACCTTCGCGACGGCGTCTTCCACCGCCGCGCTCACCTTCTCGACGTCGCACCCCGGGGAAAAACTCAGCCGCACCATCTGCACCCCCCCGATCGCTTGCTTCCCCTTATCCTCCGCCCGTATGGCGCCCTGCGTCGACGTCGCGGGGACGGTGCAATACGCGAGCCCGTTGTCCTGTCCGAACGACACGCACGGCTTGAACAGCTCGGGGGCGTGATTCCCGCCGCAGAGAAAATCGACGAAGGTTTGCGCGAGCGCGGCGCGCTCGCGCGCGTCCGACCCCGGACGCGGAGGAAGGTTGAACGAGAACGTGGACGAGCTGAGGGCCATTCCATACAAAAACAGTTCACCGGTCAGTTGAAAGGGGGAGCGATCAAATTTTGAAACCGGGCGATGGGTGAAAAACATATAGAACGCACCTGAACCCCGCGGCCGCGTCCGCGTCGGACACGAACGCGATCGGCATGTCGCCGGCGTATTTTCGCACCGCGGTTCTGGGCGAAGCGATCGTGGGTGAACGCGTCGGTCAGTCGAACGTCTCACCGGTCAAACGTTGAAAGGGAAGCGCGGGTGAAAAGTGACGACGGGGAAAGTCCTCAAGGAACGGCGTGCACCACGCGAACGGGGTCGTACGGGGAGCAGTCTGTCTCACCGCAACGCGTCGCCCACCGCCCTCGCCGCCTCGTAAGCCCGCGCGCATCTCTCCTCGACGCCGTGCCGCTCGCGACACAGCGCCTCGAGCTGGTCGTCGCCCGCGCGCGTCCCGAAAATCTCCATCGCGCTTCCTATGGCCTCGTGCAGCGGCGTCGCCGCGTCCGCGTCGCCGACGACGAGCGCGCCCGCGGTGACCTTCCCGCGCGAAAAACTCTGAGGGTCGAGGGTCAGTCGTTCAAAGCGACGAACGTCGGGGTGGAGTTCAAAGGCGTCAGAAGCGGAGTTGAAAGGCGTCGAGGTGTGTCATCGGGATTGAAACCGTGGGGTGGGCGGCGAAGAGAAACATACGCCGGGAAGAAAAGAAAGTCCTTAAGGAATGAAGTTCACAACGCGAACGGAGTCGTACGGGAACCAGTGCGTAACGAGATCGAACGCGCCTTGGACAGCGAACAAAACGCCACCGCGATCATCTCCGGCGCGAGCGCCCGCAGCTTCCCCAACACCTCGCTCCCCGGCGCGAACGTCGTGTCCACGAGGACGACGACGCGGTGCCACCGCGCGTCCGGGGCGTACCGCGACGCGTGCTCGTACGCGCGGACCGCGTCCACGAGCGCGGGGAGCGACGGGACTTTCATGTCCGGATTCGTCGGGATCTTAGGGCCATTCCATACGAGCGATTGTCGGGGTGGAGTTGAAAGGCGTCAGAAGCGGAGTTGAAAGGCAATGCGGGCGGGTATTGAAAGCGAGGGGTGGGCGGAGAGAAACGCCGGGAAAAGTCCTTAAGGATCGGCGTTCACCACGCCGACGGGGTCGTATGGGAACCAGTGTATAGAACGCACCTCGACGAAGACCACCGTCCACGCGCCGTCGATCTCTCTCCCTCGCTTCTCTTTCTCTGCGCCCTCCTCCTCCTCCTCGCCGCCCTCGCGCTCGCCGGTCACCGCGAGCGTCTCCTTCGTCCTCGCGAGCGCGTCGAGCGTCGAGGAGAGGTTGGCGACGACGTCCGCGTCGGGGCCCTGGACGTCGAAGGACCACTTCCGGACGCGGCCGCGCGTCCGCTCGCGCAGCAAATCCACGAGCTGAGGGTCGTTCCATACGAGCGATGATATCGGGGTGGAGTTCAAAGGCGTCAGAAGCGGAGTTGAAAGGCGTCGAGGTGTGTCGGGATTGAAACCGAGGGCTGGGCGGAGAGAAACGACGGCAAAAGTCCTTAAGGATCGGCGTTCAACACGCCGACGCGGCCGTATGGGGACCAGTGTGAGGAGAACGCGCCTGCGAAGACCCGCCGTACGCCGTGGACGCCATGACGACGTCGACGCCGCCGTCCTTCGCGAGCGCGCCGAACATCGTCGCGAGCGCGGGGAGGCCCGCGGAGAAGACGTTGGGCAGGTGCTCCGGCGGCGGGAACGCGCGCGCGCGGAAGTCGCCCTCGTCCACGCCGTGCAGCCGTTGCAAGTGCGTCTGCATGCCGTCGATCTCCGACGGCGACGCGCGCGTCAGCGACGTCGAACGCCCCGCCGCGTCCACGAACGGCGGCGGCGGATTCGGCGTCATCGAGCGAAGCTTAGGGTCGAGGGTCCATACGATGCGATGTCGGGGTGGAGTTCAAAGGCGTCAGAAGCGGAGTTGAAAGGCGCCGAGGTGTGTCGGGATTGAAAGCGGGGGACCCTGGGCGGAGAGATGCGCCGGGATTAAAAGTCCTTAAGGATCGGCGTTCACCGCGCGAACGGGGTCGTAGTATGGGGACCAGTGTACAACAGAACGCGCCTTAAAGAGCGCGAGCGCGTGCGTCGCGGGCGTCGCCGCGCGCTTCCGCGCGGTCGCCACCGCCTCCGGAGGGAGCTTGGACTGGTCCAGGACGTGGAGGTCTGAGCCGTCGACGACGCCGGCGACGCCGGCGGCGGCGGCGGCGCGCAGAAACGCCGCGTCGCACGGACCGTCGCCTACGCCTACGCCCGCGCGGACCATCATCACGCAGTCGTCGTCGTCGTCGTCGTCGCGGCACGCGGAGGTCGGGACGCCGCGCTTGACGACGATGGTTCTCCCCGTGAACGCGGACAGCGTCGCGATCTTTTCGTTCCCCCACAGCTTCCCGACGCCGAGGTAAAACGTAACGCGCTTCGCCGGCGTCGACAGCAGCGCGCACGACGCGGGCGCGTCCTCCGAGGCGAACGAAAACACGCGTCGCACGTCGCCGTGCCCCGCGACGCGCGCGAGCTCGAGCTCCAAGAAGACGCTCAGGTTCGACGCGACGCGCAGGTAGTCCTCCGCGACGCCTAACGCCTCGAGCGCGGACGTTGTAACCTCGCTCGCGCCGCTCTCAACGATCCCGCAGACGAGGTCGTTCAACGCGGACGCGAACGCCTCGCGGCCGAGTAAATTTTCGTTCCGAAACGTAGTCCCCAACCACTCGGAGGGCAGCGCGTCCAGCGCGACGTCGATCGCGCGCGCGTGCACGGCGACGCGCATGCGCTCGCGCTCGTGCACGGACGGCCGCACGAAGTCCAGCGAGGTCCCGGTCGCCGTCGGCGTCAGGTTTTTCTCTCTGAGGGTCGAGGGTCCGTGCGAGGCGACGTCGGCGTGGAGTTGAAAGGCGCGTCAGAAGCGGAGTTGAAAGGCGGGCGTCGAGGTGTGTCGGGATTGAAACCATCGAGGGGTGGGCGGAGAGATGCGCCGCCGGGGTTATTAAAAGTCCTTAAGGAATCGCGTTCACCACGCGAACGCGGTCGTATGGGAACCAGTGTAAATACGATGAACGCGCCTGAGCCATTCGGGGTTAAACGTCGTCGCGCGGTAGCGCTCGCCGCCGTCGCACAGTATCGTGACGACCGTCTTCCCGCTCCCGACGCCGAGCTTTCTCGCGAGCTTCACCGCGCCGACGACGTTCAGCGCCGCTGACGGCCCGACGAATATCCCCTCGTTCCGTAGGAGGTAATACGCCATCTCTATCGCCTCTCCGTCCGTGCCTCGGAACGCGCCGTCGACGCGCGCGGAGCGGAAGTTCGCCTTTGAGCCATTCCATACGAAGCGATGTCGGGGTGGAGTTCAAAGGCGTCAGAAGCGGAGTTGAAAGGCGTCGCGGTGTGTCGGGATTGAAAGCGAGGGACCCTGGGCGGAGAGAAACGCCGGATGAGAAAGTCCTTAAGGATCGGCGTTCACCACGCCGACGCGGTCGTATGGGAACCAGTCTAAATATGAACGCGCCGTCTCGCGTCCGATGCCGATGCCGTCGATGAAACAGCCGCCCGCGGAGGCGAACGCGCCCGTCTCGACGAAGCACTTCAGCCCGCTCCCGGTCGGGTCGATGAGGTAGGTTTGAATCGCGTCGCCGCGCTTCTCCTTGAGGTATCGCGTCACGCCGCCGATCGTGCCGCCGGTGCCCGCGGCGCATACGAAGCCGTCCTATACGAGCGAATGTCGGGGTGGAGTTGAAAGGCGTCAGTTGAAGTTGAAAGGCGTCGAGGGCGAGGATTGAAAGCGAGGGGTGGGCGGAGAGAGACGCCGGGAAGAAAAGTCCTTAAGGATCCGCGTTCACCACGCCAACGCGATCGTATGGGAACCAGTGTATAGAACGCACCACGTCGCCGGCGGTTTGCGCCCAAATCTCCGCGCCGGTGCCCTTGTAATGCGCGTCCGCGTTCGCGATGCACTCGAACTGGCACGGCTTCGCCGCGCCCGGGGTCGAAGCCGCGATGGACGCCGCCATCGACATGTACGACCGCGGATCCGTGTACGGCACGCACGGGCACACGGTCACCTCGGCGCCGAGCATGCGAAGGAGGTCTACTTTATCGGGCGAGATGTTTTCCGGAATGCACACGTGCGCTTTGTACCCGCGCGATTTCGCGATCATCGCGAGCGACACGCCCGTGTTCCCGCCCGTGCCCTGGACGATCGTCCCCCCCGGCTTGAGCTCCCCGCTCGCGATCGCGTGATCCACGAGCGCGTGCGCGGCGCGGTCTTTCACTGAGGGTCGTTCGTTGCGTTTGCATTGATTGTCGCGACGTCGGGGTGGACGAGAGCGAGACGAGTTCGGGGGCGCGTCAGATGGAGGATTGGAGTCGCGAGGCGTCGAGGCGCGTCGGGATCGAAAGCAGCGAGGTGTGGGCGGAGAGAGACGACCGCCGGGAACGAAAGTCCTTAAGGAATGAAGTTCACAACGCGAACGCGGTCGTATGGGAACCAGTGTGAACGCGCCTGAGCCGCCCGGGTGGAGATGCTCGCACTTCGCGAGGATTACGCATCCGAGCTCCTCGCTCAGAGACTTGAGCTCCACGATCGGCGTGCCGCGGGGGATGCCGTGGAAGGCGTGGTACGAGGACGACGACTTCCGCGGCGTCTCCCGCGGCGTCCGCGGCGAGACCATCGAAGGCTGCTGCGAAGACCGGCGCGGCGGCGCGGCGCGGAGTGAGTGACGCGTCGCGTGCGATGCGATGCAGGCCTCGAAACTTTTCGCGCGACGACGCGACGATTGTTGTTGTTACCCGCGCGTCATCACACCTCCGGGGCGCGGCGGCCGACACCCCGCCCCGCCCCCGCCCTCGCGCCGCCCGCGCGATACGATGACGCCGACGACGCTCGCCGTCGCCGCCGTCGACGCGCTCGCGCGATTCGCCGCCCTCGCGCTGACGACCGCGCGCGTCGTCCTCGCGGTCGCGGACGCCGTCGCGCATCCCGCGCTCGGGCTCGTCATGACGTTCGCCGCTTCCGTTCTCGTCGCGTCGACGCTCGGGGGGGATCGCGCGCCCCCCTTCGTCCTCGTCCTCCTCCTCGTGTACGCCCTCGGCGGCGGGTGGCGCGCGTGCGCGAGCGCGGAGGAGCTCGCGATGATGCGCGCGCGCGGGCACAGGACGCCGAAAGCGATGCGCGCGGCGACGCGCGCGATCGCGCGCGCGCTGGGCGCGGACGGGGGCATCGGAGACGACGACGCGTTGGACGGCGGCGGCGTCGCCGCGGCGGCGCGATGGGCGGTCAGACGCGCGATGCGATGGCAGCGGATGCGAATAGGAGGCCTCCGCGGCGAAGACGACGACGAGGAGGAGGATGAGGAGGAGGGCGACGGCGACGGCGACGGCGCGGAGGCGGAGGCGCGGAACGATGACTCATCGATCCGATCCTCGCCCGCCGCCGCCGCCGCTGGGACCGACGAGACCGAGCGGTGGCCGACGGTGACGCTCCCGCGACCGGAGGAGTGGCCGCACCGCCCGGTGTTCGTGCGGTTCAACCCGAAGGCGCGGTCGATGCGCGCGATCGGCGGGTGGGCGACGAGGGAGGGGCCGGCGCCGTGGCGCGACGACGACGACGCGTTATGGAAGGATCCGAATCAGAATCCGTCGAATCCGTCGCCGAAACCGCCGTCTCGAGAACGCCTGTGCGCGCCCGTCAACACGGAGACGTCGATGGCGTTCGAGAGCGAGCTGTTCGTAGGGCGCATCGTGTGCCGGTTCAAGGGCGTCGGGTGCCCGGGGAACGAGCGCGCGGTGAAGACGTCGGACGCGTTTTTCAAGCGTCGCCGCGTCACGTTCCAGGTTTTGGTGCAAGGCAAGTTCAAAGAGCCGTGCTTAACGTCGGACATCTTAACCGGCGCGGAGTTCAAGAAGCCGTTCGAGAACCGCCCCCCGGACTTCCTCGTGACCGCCGGGATCGCGTTCTTCGCCGCGCTCACCCCGGGTTTAGAGACGGACGTGCTGTGCGACGAGCCGTGGTGCGTTCTCTACAAACGCATTTCACCCATCGCCCGGTTTCAACATTTGATCGCGTCCTTTTTCAACTGACCGATGAACATTTTTTGTATGGAACGACCCTCAGGTACTGGGCGACGTTGGGGGGCACGGTGACGACGATGGCGGCGCACGAGGCGAGAGACGCGCCGAGCGCGTTGGATGATTCGAAAGAGGACACGGTCCGGTTCGGCGGCGTCCTGGGCGGGGAAAAGAACGGGGCCCGGAAGAACAAGAACGGCGGCGACACCGCGAGGGAGCGCGCGCGGCGGTGTCGAATCTTGGGCGATCCGAAGACGGCGAAGGATTACGTCTACAACGCGACGGACGTGTACACGTTCGATTACATGCAGAGCGTCATCCTCTTCGACGAGTACGCGTTGGACCTGTGGGGTATCGCGCGGCTGCCTCTGGAGCGGCACGTCAACGGGCAGCCGTTGGGAATCATGGCGAAGCACAGGGACGGGCGGTACGTGTACTCGTTCGAGATCATGCACGAGTGCTTGCTCGCGAAGAACGACCAAGCCCCGCCGGGGTGGAGAGTAGAGAGTAGAGAGGCGGCGGCGAGTTAATCGAGTATGTACGGAAGTACTTTCCGTACCTTGGGCTTGTGTAGCGTTATTAGAGTCGGCGCCGTTTTATTTATAAGAATCGATCATCTCCGTAGATGACAACTTATCCTAACTGATGAAGTAATAACCGAAGCGTTCTCTCGCCGGCGCCCGCGTCACCCTCATCGTCTCCTCCCCCACGCGTCCATCCCCCCCATGACGTTGTACACCTCCTTGAACCCTCTCGACGCGAACTCCTTCCCCGCGTGCGCGCTCCTCACGCCAGCCTTGCACAGCATGTACGTCGGCTTCGGGCCGTTCCATTCGAGCGAATGTCGGGGTGGAGTTGAAAGGCGTCAGATGGAGTTGAAAGGCATCGAGGACGGGGATTGAAACCGTGGTGTGGGCGGAGAGATGCGCCGGGAAAAGTCCTTAAGGATCGGCGTTCACCACGCGGACGCGGTCGTATGGGAACCAGTGTATAGAACGCACCTTAGACTTGTCCACGCCGGCCAATTTCTCGTCCCACTCCGCCTCGGTCATCTGCATCACCTTCGACAGCGGCATGAGCGTGAACGCGTCGATGCGCGTCGCGCGCCACTCGTCCTCCTCCCTGACGTCGACGAGGTTGACGCCGTCCAGGTCGCCGACCTCGAGCACCTCCGCGAGATCCTCCACGCTCACGTTGACCACCGCCGCGGGCGCCTCTCTCTGATCCAGCACCTGCACGACGTGCACGCCGAACGTCGTCTTCGCGCGCGTCACGCCCCCGATAGGCGTCGCGAACGCGGCGTCCTCGAACGGCTTCACCGTCTGCCCGCGGCCGATCCAGCCGATGAGCCCGCCGTTCGCTTTCCCCGAAGGGCACTTGGAGTACTCCGCGGCGAGCGTCGCGAGGTCGTCCGCGCCGGCGACGACGCGCTCGTAGAGCTCGTCGAGCTGCGCCTCGTCGGAGGCGTCCATGAGGATGTGCGCGATCTTGATCTGGCCCTCGTGCGGGGGCGCGGAGGACGAGGAGGAGGAGGAGGAGGAGGAGGCGAACGTGCGCGTCACCCACGGCGAGACGCGACGATGACGTTGACGACGACGCGGAATCATCGCGGGGATCGCGGACGACGACGCGCGGGAGGCGGTCGTCGCGGAGGAGGAGAACGTCGCGCCGACCGCGCGCGCGACGACGCGCGGGGTAGAAGACCGCAGGAGCATCATCGCGCGAGCGGGAGACGACGCGCGCACGACGACGAGAGGCGACGAGGGTTATGACGACGACGCGACCGACGATGACAGTCTATGATACATTCGAGCTCTTCGCTTCGGATGAGAAAAAACCTAAACTTACGCGTCGATGAGGTTCACCCAGTTCCGAATGATGTGCAGCCCGTTCTCCGTGATGATGCTCTCCGGGTGAAACTGCACGCCCTGGATCTTCGGATACTTCCTGTGCTTCACCGCCATGATCGTCTGATCCTTCGTCCACGCCGTGACCTCTAACTCGTCCTCCGGAAAGCCCTCCCGGGAGATCACGAGCGAGTGATACCGCGCCGCCTCGAACGGGCTGGGTCGTTCCATCGTACGAAGCGACGTCGGGGTGGAGTTGAAAGGCGTCAGTGGTGGAGTTGAAAGGTGTCGAGGTGTGTCATCGGGATTGAAAGCGAGGGACCCTGGGCGGAGAGAAACGCCGGGAACAAAAGTCCTTGAGGAACGGCGTTCACCGCGCCGACGCGGTCGTATGGGGACCGGCGCGAGATGGGGACGCGCCTCGGCAGCCCGTGCAGCAGCTGCCCCTCCTCCTCCGTGTGCCACACCGGGGAGCTCTTCCCGTGCATGAGCCCGCACGGCGCGCGGACGACGGTCCCGCCGAACACCTGTCCGATGCACTGATGCCCCATGCACACGCCGAAGACGCCAAACTCGGGGCCTGCGATCGATTGGTTTTGGTTTTGGTTTTGGTTTTGGTTTTGGTTTTGGTTTTGGTTTTGGTTTTCGTCAGTCGGGGGCGGACGCGCGCACACGTGTCAGCGACGGGGCGTTCTCATTGGTGGGACGCGCGCACACGTGTCAAAACGTGCGGCGGCGGGCGCAGCCAGCCCAGCGCGCCATCTTAAGGAACGACGCGCGACGAGCGAACCGGGTCGTATGTATGGGAAACAGTCTGAGCTCGTCTTCGCACCTAATTTTTCGCACGCCTCGAGCGAGATGCCGCTGTCCTCGGGCCGTCCCGGCCCCGGGGACACCATCACGCCCTTGGGGTTCATCGCCGCGATCTCCGCGACGGTCTTCTCGTCGTTCTTGTACACGACGTGCTCGCACCCGAGGTCGCCGAGGTACTGCGGCGAGGAGGAGATGGGATGGGGAGGGGCGACGGGGGGGTGAGCCGCGTTCGTTCGTTCGTTCGTTCGTTCGATCGATCGGATAAAGGAGGACGGACGGACGGGGATCGCGATTCGCGCGCGCGAGCCCGTCGCGACGACGCGCGCGCGCGCACCTGCGACAGGTTGTACGTGAAGCTGTCGTAGTTATCTATGATCACGACCGGGCGGTCGTCGCCCTTCGACGCCGCGGCGAGGACGACGACGCCGACGCGGCGCGCGACGCCGCGACGACGACGACGCGCCGCGTCCGACGAGCGACGGCGGCGTCCGAGACCGAGCCCGCCCGTCGTCGTCGTCGCCGCCGTGGACCGCGCGGCGAGGCCGCGCGCGGGCGACGCCTTGGCGATCGTCGTCGTCGTCGTCGCGGCGACGCTCATCGTGAGCATCGCGCGTCGCGTGCCTCGGCGCGGCGAGATGCTCTGCCGCCGAGCGGCGAGAGCGGCGACCCTTCCGACGGAAGCGGAAGCTCGCGATGAGCGCGGATGGCGCGTGTCGGTCATCACTCGGTCATCAGTCGTTCTCTCGGCACGCGCACGCGCGCTTGCTTTGAAAATCAAAACTTGGCACCCTCCCTCTTCTCCCCATCGTCCGTCGCGCGGCGACGCCGCGCTCCTCGACGGTCGACATGCGCGCGCTGGCGTATTCGGACTCCGACTCCGAGGACGTCTCCGACGACGACGTCTCGGACGCGGAGGACGCGGGCCTCCGCGCCGCGGTCCGCGACGCCGCGGCGAGAGGATCTGAGCGATGTGATGAAGCGCGACGGAGAAGAAACGAAGAAGATGCGGAAAACGACGCGCGCGCGCCGCCGCCTCCTCCTCCTCCTCCGCCGCCGTCGTCGATCGCGCCCTCCCCCGCGCCCTCCTCGGTCGTTCAGATCGACGACGACGAGCGCGACGTCCTGTGCGGCGACGCGAACGACGCGGACGACCGGATCCCGCGACTCGTGAAGGGCGTCAACCACGGCTCCATAGGCGCGTTCTATACACTGGTTCCCATACGACCGCGTTGGCGTGGTGGACGTCGATCCTTAAGGACTTTTCCCGGCGCGTCTCTCCGCCCACACCTCGCTTTCAATCCCCGCCCTCGGCGCCTTTCAACTCCAACTGACGCCTTTCAACTCCACCCCGACGTTCGCTCGTATGGAACGACCCTTAGGCCCCGAGCTCGCGAAGCTGCGAGCCGCGCAGGGCGAGCACATGGAGTACTACACGCTCGAGCACTACGACCGCCTGTACGGGCGGCGCCGGCCGTGGGGGCGCGACGACAAGGGCGGCAAGGTGTGGTGCAAGGACGTGCACGAGCCGGGATGCACGGAGTGCACGTCGTGCCACTTTTGTCGACAGAAGACCACGGATGTCAAGACGCGTTGCGTGTGCGGCGAGTGGTAAGGATCACTCAAATTACACCGTCCCACCTCTTAACTACCGCTTCGGGCTCCCCACGTCTTATATCGCTCGCGTTATGACTTGACAAACTACTCGGGCGCGTGCGCGTCTGATTGTTTTTTCGTGCGGGCGTCTCTAACGAACGGCGGCGGCAGCCCCCCGGCGGGCGCGGCCGCGGCGCGTGGTGCGGCTGGTGCCTCGAGATGCGCATGGGCGAGAACATCGTCGAGGCGCGGGAGGACCCGGAGTGGCGCTGCCCGGTGTGCCGCGACATCTGCAACTGCTCCGGCGCCAACTGTCTGCGCGCCAAGAGAAACTTGTTCCCGACGCAACAGCTCACGCACGAGGCGCTCTCGTTCGGGTGGCAGGCGAGGCGCAGACTGGTCCCCATACGTTCCCGTTCGCGTTGTGCTCTTCGTTTCTGAAGAAGAACTTTCTCTTTCGGCGTTCGTGTCTCTCCGCCCACCACCCCCGCGGTTTCGATCCCGACGCGCCGCGACGCCTTATGACTCCGCTTCTGACGCCTTTCGACTCCAAACCCCGACGTTCGCTTGTATGGACAATTACCCCGACGCGTTCCCGCCGATCGATCGATCGATCGTCTCTACGCCTGAGCAGTCCGTCGCGCACTACCTCATCACGACGCGGCTCGTCTCCGGCGAGGACGCGCCGCCGATCATGAACCTGCCGCTCGCGCAGCGCGAGCAGTTCCAGCGAAGACGCGCGCGCGTCGGGGTGGGGGTGGGAGTGGCGGGCGGCGCGAAGGGCGCCGCCGCGGCGAACGCCGCGTCGAAAAAGAGACGGGAGGCGCGTTCTGTACACTGGTCCCCATACGACCGCGTTCGCGTGGTGAACGCCGATCCTTAAGGACTCTCTCTCCCGGCGGTTCTCTCCGCCCACCCCTCGCTTTCAATCCCGACACACCTCGATGCCTTTCAACTCCAACTGACGCCTTTCGACTCCGCCTTTGAACTCCGCCTTTGAACTCCGAAAAAGGACGCGTCGAGGAGAGACCGCGCGGCGGCGTTGCGCGCGCGCGTGCAGCGGAGGCTGCGCGCGGCGCTGTCGTCGTCGACGACGCTGAGCGGCGGCGGCGGCGCGAGCGGCGCGAGCGGGGTATCGGACGGCGCGGCGGCGACGGAGGCTTCCGCCGCCGGCGCGGAAACCGCCGTCGCCGCGCGCGGCGACGACGACGACGACAGCGGCAGCAGCGGAAGCGACCTGGACTCGACCGACGGGGAGGACGAGGGCGACGAGGGCGACGAGGGCGACGAGGAGGAGGCGGCGGCGGCGGCGCGCGAGCGCGATCACCTCGAGAACGAACCGTTCGAGGCGCCGCCGCGGCCACTCGCGGGCGAAGACGTCGACGCGGCGGCGGCGGCGGCGCCGCCGCCGCGCCCCGTTCGCTCACGTTCGCCGTCGAGGTCGCCGCTTCGCGAGCGCGTCGCGCCGCCGCAGACGCAGACGCAGACGCGATCGCCGCGGCGTCCGTCGTTCGGCGCCGCCGAGAGGGACGACGACGAGGCGCGGGACGTCGTCGAGAGGGAAGGCGCCGGATACCGCGGCGGCGGTG